CACCAAAACCTGTTGTCATTTGTCTTTTATTATACATTTCTATCTTGTTCTCCTTTGGTCTCATTTTTCCCATTTTTTTTCAGTCTCTCATTGTCAATTTAGTTGCATTCTCAAAGTAACCAGTTTTTATAAACATATCTAAGCCTACCACATGGACCTCTAATCAAGTCATCACACATTTGTCTAAGATGTTACCTATTAAAAAGGACAGATATGGAAACATTGGGCTGTTGGAAAAGTCATGATGCATTTTTGGATAGAAAAACATAGGAAAATGCATTATGATTTTTCCAACAGCCCAATAATGTCCCAAAAGCATAGTATATTTACATATCTATAGCTATCTTCACCATCTGTATCTGTGTAAAACCAGATGTTACTTAACAACTTCCTCTGTTTGTCCCTCCAAAGCTCCTAGCCAACTCTATGATGCATGCCCACACTGAAGATAGGTCTTTCTTGGCCCACTGACCCTCATCTAATCTTGTCAGCAACACCCTCACAAACACACTTAGAAACAATATTTCACCAGCTTTCCAGGGCTCTTTTATTTCATTCATGTTGAGAGCCAAAATTAACCATCACAAACTCCATGTTCTTTTTCTTTACTTGTAATGTCAAATCTAAAAGATTCACAGTGAAATGATAACAAGCTCTGTCAGCTTCTTTTATTCATGATTATATGGAACAAAATTCAACTCTTTACCCTGTATCCACATTATAAACCTAGCATGAAGGAGAAACTATAGGTTTTAGTCCACTGAGATTTGGTGACTATTCATTACTACAGTAAAAACTAGCCTAAACTGACTTATAAAATAACAATGATATGAGACAGGTTCTTGGTGAGATTCTAAGAATAAACCCCACCACATCTAGAAAATAATTTAGAATAAACAATGTATAGTAAAACATAATACATAAAATTAAGTTGTTTTTATTGGATTGTCAGGAAAGTCATGACACATTTTTTCATAGAAAAACATAGAGACATACATCATGACTTTTCCAAAAACCAATAATTGTATTCTTTTTTTTTTTATTGTAACCTTAAGAACAAAAAGTTGACCCACTGGATCTGACATGATAGCTTATTAAGTTGGAGGAGTTGAGAGTTTGAAGAGAATCCATCTCCTACCACCTAAACTGGTGGTAAATGTAGGCCTGTTTTATAAAGATCATTGCCTTAGTCTGTTACTGTATTTGTTAACACAACGGTTTGGGACTGGGAACATTTAAGAGTAGGGATTATCTTGACTCACAGTTCTGGGAACTGAGAAGTTGAGGATAAGGGAAGTAGAGGGTAAGCTCCATACATTGAGCCCTCCTTCTCCACTCCCTCTTCTCCCAGTTCCTATGAGATCTGACTGCTGGCCCAGCTGGACTTTGTAAGCCCCCCATGACCATTCCCTTATCTCATGGAACTGGCCATTGCTTCGGTTATTTCAGAGGTATGCCTCACACTTCTCCCACAGTAAACATTGAAACTCTAGAGCCAGTAAACACCAAAGCTAATCCAGAGATATCCTGGTGACTCTATTGAGATAAGCTGATCTGGTATCAAAACCCCTAAACAATGTATGTCTTTACTTGATTTATGCATGTTTTGTTCTTGGTGTATAAACCCAAGCCCGTAATTGCATGGACCATTCTCCACCCAGCCATTAGTGGAACTTGCCTAGTAAGTGAATTTATGTCTTTCTCTGCTGAAGCTCTGAGTGTATACTTTGGAATTGGTAAACATCATGGACAGACACATCCCAATTTGGTTCCTCCAAAAATAGAAGTTTAAAGGTATCACACAATGGTAGAAGATAGACATTTAACAGAGCAAAGCACTACGTATATCCATGTAGCTTGTTTTGACTGCTTCATTTCTTCTCTACATATACACATCGGAATTCAGTCATTGGGGTACTGATTTAAGGACATTATCTATCACACTCAAAGACTCCAGAAGAAGTTTTCACTTAACAATACTATCAAGTCCCAACACATGGATTTTGTGGAAACATTCAAATTCTAATGCAAAAAAACATGGGGCACGAAAATTTTTCTAAATCATAATGATCATCTTGAGGAAACATTTAAATATCTTCATTATATAACTGGATTTAGGGGAACTTGAGTTGAATATATTTTGCTCTATAAATCCGATTTATGTTATTACTTTGTATTCTTCAAATTCCAATTTTTAAATTAGATTTGAATTCTAAGCTATGAAAGTTCTCACGACATGGTTGATTAAATAATGAGTTTTTAAATTTAATTGCCTGGTTTTAAACCCTGATTTTTGTACCTCATTAATTCTGTGGCTTAGTATATGCCTGCAACATGTGTAAAATGTTGCTAATTGCTTCATGCAGTTGTTCTGTGGATTAAATTAGCTAATCTACACAAATCACTTAGTACGGTATTCAGTATAGAGTTTTTGTTAAATAAACTTATGACTTTAATTATTAGAATTTTTGAACTGAGAACTAAAAGATATAACTATTAAGAGGCATTATGAAACTTGGCTGTGTGATTCAGATATCTTAGATTGGTGAGAAAGAAATGACTATAAAAAAATAACTACTTACCAAGCAAATTATACCAGGAACTATGTGAGCTGTTTTAAATGTATCATTTTTGTTTACTTTTTAGGACTTTCAAAGTTAGACCCTATTTTGTTACAACTGAGGAAAAGAAATTTAAGGGAGTCAAATTATCAGCAAGATCTCACAGCTTCTAATAAGAAGACAGTGAGGATTTGAACCTTAGGTTATCTAATTCAAATGTACAACATCAAATTACAGAGTTAATTCTTTGCTGTACATTTTTTCTACCATGTGATCTTGATCATTTATATCAATTTTCTATTATTTTCATTTGAACAATGAAAATAACACTACTCTTTATTTGTAGGATTGTGATGAAGGTTACCAATAATTGTTGCTATGGAAATACTTATGGAAGTAAATATTACTTAAGTTAAATATTACTTAACTTTCTGAAAAGTTAAGGACTAGTTTATTTAAATATCACCCATTTTTATTATTTTACTAAATTATATATGTTCAAGGTATATATAAATGAAAAAAATCAGTAATTTGAGTGCATTAGATAACAAATACATATGTGTGTGTGAATCCATTATTATATACTTATGTTTCTCAATACTTGCTTAATCAATAATCATTCAAGACCATATATATGGTTTATGAAGAGGTTCATTGTAGTTTGTGGATGTCAAAATTATCAGGAAAAAAAAAACTCAAGTCCTGCAAGGCCTGACTGAGAGATCATCTCAAGTTCTTTCTTCCCTATGTTCTTAATCAGAAGCATATCTGTTACAGAGTGATTCATGTCAACTGAGGTTATTACAGAAGCAGGAATTTCTGATTTTTTTAAGTATTTCCTTCTAAACCAATATTATTAGTTTATGTTATTTTTTTCTGATCATTGATTTATCAAAAAATATTTATTAAAATAATTAATAGTTAACACATAATTATTTATTAAAATTAATAACATTATTTTAATAATATTAAAAATAAAGTTATTTCTAAGAGTGGAAGAGTCTTGAACAAATGCTTCTGACCAGCTGAAAATTTTCTTTATTTCACGAAACATGTTCAATTAATGAAGATTTAATACCATCATATTTACTATAATTTTTGAATAATTTTATTACAGAAACTTCAAACATATACACAGGAAGCAAAATATTATAATCACCCCATATATCCATTATACATCTTCAAAACTTCTCAACATTTTGCCACTCTTGTATCCTCTATATTTCCATTTTGCATTCCAATTGTTGGGACTTTTTTTTTCTAATTGCTATAGGGTGCATGTACTTGCCAGAGAGAGACAGGGAAGAGGGGAGAATGAGGGCGACAAAGGGAAAGTGACAAAGCACCCCGCCACACACACACGGGATGACCATGATCCAATCCCTCCTTCCCTTCTTCTCCATTCTTCTCTCTGTACCCTGGGCATACATGTACACACATCCAGCATGCCCCTCAAGCCGAGTTCAGGACTTGAACCATTCAGTTGACCATGTGAGATCCAGCTGCCCAATATATATGCCATCTGCTAGTCCTGTTGAGCTTTTCTTAAATATTTACGTAGGAGACATGGACGGTGGGTTGGAGAAAGGCAGATACCCTCCACAGGGTCTTCGCACCATGATCACTGCCCAGAATGTTAAGTAGACCCCACACATGAACCCGGACCTTCCCCATACCTCCTCCAGCATCACCCAGCAGTGCCCCTATTGTCTGTGTCACTTTGACTCAGCCTTGGTGAGCCTTTCTAATATCAGGTTTCTGATTCCTCATGTCCATTTTGTCACCAACAGATGTACCGGTGATATTCAGAACTCCAGAATTTCACCGCATAGAGTTTATTTTTCTTTAAAATATTTTTGTACTGTTACTTTTTGTGTTCTGTTATGTAGAGAACAGTCCAGTTTATGTGCTAAGGATTCTAATTAGAAAGGAATAGCTGATGTTTTTGCATTAAGAAATTGAAAAACCTTTCTCTTGGTCCAGATAGAGTGCCTCCTGTGTCTGAAGTAGATCTCGTACCTGCTGTAACTATACAGCTTAATCTTCATGATGGCGGCTCCTAGGAGTCTTATTATTTTTACAAATAGTTTTACTAATTTGAATGTACCTTGAAACACAAATCTCATAAGAACCCTTTCTACCTATTTCCAGGAGGAAATGACCTTGAACTCTGTGTTCAAAGATTTAATAGGCAGTGTCCTCTCCAGGAAAAATAAACTCAGACTCTATGCCTCCTTATTTAATTTTACTTTAGAGTAATAACATTCTCTATTCTCAAAAGAAACTATGACACTGTATTTCTTTTCTTCATCTACTAAATCTTAAAGCTCACTACCAAGTAATAATAAGCTATAAAATATTTTTACATTTTCAAAGTTAATATCCAAGCAATGAATGCTGATCTATGTTCCTGTACTCTCAGAGCATCAGCTGTCTCTGTTAGACCCCTCCTCTCTTTCTAGAGAATGTACGAACAATGCTATTGCGAATTTCCTTGGTTTTGATACTATAGACAATGGGGTTGACCACAGGTGGGAAGAAGAGGTAGGCATTGGCCATGACAGTCTGCAGGAGTGGAGGCAAATGGCGTCCAAAACGGTGCATCAAAGAGAGGCTAATCATGGGCACATAGTACACCAGCACGGCACAGATGTGTGACACGCATGTATTGAGGGCCCTCCACCGCCCTGCCCCAGAAGCTATTCCCAGTACTGTGCGAAGAATCAACACATAAGAAACCACAATAAGCAAGGAGTCAAAACCAAATGTGGAAGTGATGACAAACAGACCCAGGATGCTATTGGGGCGGGTGTCTCCACATGGCAATTTGATCAGATCTGAGTGGAGGCAATATGAGTGTGTGAGGGCATTGTGACCACAGAAAGGCAGACGCTTTAGGAGAAAGAGTAATGGGAGCATAAGCATGACACTTCTCAGGGCAATGGTGGCACCCATTCCAGTGATGCGAGGAATTGTTAGAATGGTTGTGTAGTGCAATGGGCTGTAGATGGCCACAAATCGGTCCACGGACATGGCCAGAAGGACACCAGACTCCATGAGGGTAAAAGAGTGCATAGAAAACATCTGGAAGAGACAACCACCAAAACTGATATCATTAATGCCAAAGAGGAAGATGCTTAGCACAGTGGGCAAGGTGGAAGCAGAGACACCAAGCTCAACAAAGGCCAGCATGGCCAGAAAATAGTACATGGGTTGATGCAAGGCAGGGTCAATCCGGATAATGTGAAGAATGATGCCATTTCCCAGGAAGATGATAGTGTACATCAGACAGAAGGGGATGGATATCCAGATATGTTCTGCCTCCAGTCCTGGGATGCCAACAAGAGTGAATGTTGCAGGTGTGAACTCTAGGGAACCATTAGAAATGCTATGGTGAAGCCTCATCTGAAGATTCTGGAAAGCACATGGGTGCAGGAATAAACAAATTTCTAATCAGCTGTGTGTATCAAACTTAATCTTCTGAGAGTCATATGAAAGACATTTCCTCAGAAGAGGAGAGAAAAGGGCATATTTCTAAAACAAGGGATCATTTTAACCATAAATATAGAAGAGAATCCTGACTGACACATAGAGGAGTGTTCTTACATGGGCTACATGCCAAACACAGAAGTCATTACTACAAATCTCAAGCTGAGTCACTTACAGCAGTGAAATACACTGATAATAAGCACAGATGACAGGTTCACAAGGAAATTAGGATAGAAGGAAATGGTAACTGGTCTACTTTGTAATGGGAATGACTGAGGTAAAATAGAATGTGATACAACAGTAATAAAAAGCATTCCTGGTTCTAACACTTAGCAGACTTGTGATCTTGTGTTTGTGTGCGTTGGGGGCTGGGGAGGACACTAAATTATCTGAGACTAGATATTTGATATAGCACAATAATAATGAAACAAGATAATATATGGGGGCAGCCCATAGCAAGGTGGTTAAGGTGGCTGGATTCAATATGTCTAGTTTTACAGTTCAAGTCTCAGACCTGGGTGCTTGAAAAATATACCAGGTGGTAAAGCATCCATGCCCAAAGTTTAGAAAGGATATAGAAGAAAGGATTGTGGTGTGACCAACCCTGGGGGGCGGGGAGGTTGCTTTCTTGCTTTCAATTTCTCTCTCTCTTTCTCTATGTCTCCTACAAGCACATAAGCCCTCTGGCAAATAAAAAGATAATACGTTTATATTTTTTATCATTATACTTAGAACATAGCAAATATTTAACACATAAAATAAAAAGAACAATTTAATATATTAGAACGCAGGGAATGTTTCTCCCAGCATGGAGTGTTTTCCCAACATCTTTTTCTAACTTACCAGTTTGCTCTTCCTACAGTCGCTATCCATGAAAGATTGAGAAAGATCCTCCCTATTTCGTAGGAGAGTGGGAGTCCCCTGTTAGAACCTGGGATGAGAGCTGAGAACACCAGAACTATAAGGATCTTACAAGCTAACTGTGATGGTGGGGCTTTGGAGAGCTGGAGTTAGGTGTCTGACCAAGGTTATTAACACCAAAATTCACTCATATATAGCAGAGCCATAGCTGCTAAGGTTAAGGGCCAGAGATGGAATTTAGGACAGGGCTCAGGTTTGGAGATGGTAACTGAAGGACCAGGATTCTTAAGTACAATCAGTGAAGTAGGTCATAAATGTTCAACAATTAGTTCTCCAAATAGAAATCCCTGATTTGTAACAGTTGCCAACTTCTGTGATTTAAATACTCCATAATGGCCAATTTCAACCTGATGCTACTGAATGAACAGCTCAAATGTGAATAATCAACTTTCTCAAGCTGTTGAATGCCAGCCCCCAGAACACCATCAGGCATACGTACAACTGATCTTGGATGTGAGGTATTTATCCCAATGGAGCTGTGAACAGGTTCAACAAGCCATGTCTCTCCTGTGCTTCTGATAACTACCAACTGTGCTATGAGCATAGTGGATACCTCTGTTTATATGTACTTAGCTTACTAGAGGAGGGGTAGAAGGAGTAAGGGTTCCTCAAGGAGCAATTATGGAAAAATAATTATCCTCAGAAACTTCAGGTGGATTATAGAGAAAGAGATGGAATGTTACTCATTGAAAGGCATGTCAGGGAAAATACATGAGAACAAGCTAATGCAAAAGTAAGGGAATAGGCAGCCAGCAGGTGACGTAGTGGTTACATTGCTGGACTTTGATATGGCAGACCATAGTTCAAGTCCTGGACCTCATGAAACTCTTGCCAGGTGTGTGTGCAAGCTTGCCCAAGATCCCAGGAAAAACATGGAGAAGAGATTGTGGCATGGCCATCCCCCCAGAGGGTGATTTCTCACTTTCTCCCTCACTGTCTCTGTGTGGCTGTGTGTGTCTCTCTCTCCAGTGAGCACAAACAACCTATGGCAGAAAACATCTTAAAAACAAACAAACAAACAAACAAAAAACAGGGAATTACTCTTAATACATTTATTCATTTTCGCGGGTCTCTTTTCATTAACTCTGTCATATAAAATAGTGCCTTATGTAGCTTTTATGTTATCAGTGTAACTTTTTTTATATCTGAAACTTATTCTTAAAACATTATTTCATATATAGAGAAAAATATAGATACAAAGATAGGGATATAGATTTTGCTAGAATTACGGATACAGATAAAGAGTGCTGCAAATAGTGATAACAGAGATGGAGACATTAACAGTGATGAAGAGAGAGTGTTTGAAACAAAGAGAGACAGAGAGCATGCCTTGAGTCTATCTGCAACCTGTTTGGAGGACTTGGGTGATTAGGGAATTCAATTAATTATTCTTAAATGTATGAGCAATTATTTCCAGCATTATGCCTTAAATGGTGATCTAATATTTCCTCAATCATTATGAGAGTCTATATATACTTTATTTTAAATTATCATACAAATATTATTTGTTGCTGCAGTCTGTTCTTTGGTCTAAGTGTCTATTTTGTCAAATCCCCTTTGTCTTGAGTATTCAGTTTTATAATGTATAAAAATGTCTATGTATTGCAATTGGTCAAGTTATGTTTTCTAGTAGTGATACTAATATTTTTCATATTTATTTTTTCAAACTTGCATTAAAAAACTGCATTCCTAAAAATTAAGCAATTGTCTAAACCTAAGAGTTAAAACTATAAAAGTGTTATAAGAATATGTGGGGGTAAATCTTTATTAATTTAAATTTAAAAATAGATTGTTACATATTACACAAAAGCATGAGTAACAAAAGAAAAACAGGTAAATCTGACTTCATTCAAATTAAAATATTCATGCAAAAAGGACTTTATCATGGAAGTAAAATGCAAATATTTATTTTATAAGGGCTTAATATTCAAAATGTATGAAGAATTCTTAGAACTCAAAAACAAACAGAAAGCCCTCCCCTCAAAAAACTGGGACCAACTACCATGGTGCAGTGGTAATACACCATGATGCTGAGACCAATTGTGAAGGTCTTGAGTTCACATCTTAAGATCCCCATGTGCACAAGACACACTCAAGCATGCTCATGATCCTGGCTGGTTGAACCTGGAGGTAGGATGTGGCATGAAGATTTTGCTGGGGGTACTCATCTCTTTCTCTCTCTCTCATGAAATAAATAAATAAATAATTTATTTTTAAATGGTATAATGACTTAAACAGAAAATAACCATTGGCACATAAAATGCAAACCAAAACCACAATGAAATCCCACTCCAAACCTACCCAAACAGCTATAATTAAGCAAATAATAATAATAATAAAATAATAAAAGCAAGTATTTTCATATACTTGTTTAAGATAGCCTACCCCATACATCCTCAATAGGAAATCGTTGTTTTTTTTAGTTTCTCATTACCAAAATCAAACATAAAACATCTTCATGCCATACAGTCAGACTCTTTATGAGCACATTACTCCCCTTTATTCCTTGAGTAATTTTCCCTTGAATCCTATTCTTACCTATCGTGACTTCCCTCAACATTTTGTGTGCATTTCAGTATCTAAGATGATGAACCTTTCAAACCATTTTTTTCCAAGGTTCATTAGCAGCAGAATCAGGTTCAGTTTTGTGGTTGAGTTCTTTGAGATCAATAATGTCTCTGTTCAGGGTCCAGCAGGTGGCATCATGGTTAAGGTTCTGGACTTCCACATGTCCAAATGCAATTTGAGTCCTGATCCTGGCAGCTTGAAAAACATGCTGAGTGTCTGTGTGTGTATGCATGTTCAAAATCCAGGGAGGAGGGACAAATGGAAGAGAAGGGATTGCAGCATGATGGTCCCCATGGGGGGAGGTGATGCTTTATGGGGGAAGGTGGTGCTTTCTCACTTTCCCTTTTCCTCCCTCTCTCTCTATGCAGCAAGCATCTATGCCCTCTGACCAAAAAAAAAAAAAAAAAAAAAGTTTTTAAATTATTCTCATAGAAAACAAATACAATTAGCATTTATTAAATGCTGAGTACATTGTATGACATATTTAATTTGGTTACCAAAACAATGAGTAAAGTACAAACGTAATTTAGTTTTATCAACCAAAAACCAATAGTTAAATAGGATATCAATATCACACACTTAGTGTGACAGGCAAAGCTTTCTCATACCAAAACTTTCTGGTTTTGATTTTTCTTCAGAGGTTCTTTTTAATCCCTAAATATAAAGCCTTGATGAAATTAAAGTGAATATGGTATATATTATAAACCAAGGCAATTGTCCAGGTCTTGAAAGGTCTAGGAGATAGCTTTGATAGCATACACGGAATCCTGGCATTAATGTTTAACTTAACTATTTGTTAATATATGGCTTCTCAAATAATATTCTTAGTGTTCTTAGTTTTATTTCATTTTATTTAGTTCTTATTCACAGTTTTAATGCATACTGAGTCATATTTTGTATTTTCTTAAAATTATTAATGGCTCCACATAAGTAGTAAACAAAATTTAGACCTTGATAGTATTATGTATAGACTCTTCAAATATGGCTTGTAGGCTAGCCCTGTAATGTGCTGATTAAGTGTAGATTGAGACTAGATTCCACATAGCCAGTGCAGTTTTAATTCTGGTCCCGGCATCTTGAAAAACATACTGGGCACACATGTGTGCATGCCCAAAGTCCTGATGTGAAGGAATAATGGAGGAAAAAAAAATTGCAACATGACAATGCCACATGGAGCGAATTATCTCTCTCTCTCTCTCTCTCTCTCTCTCTCTCTCTCCTTGGCGAGCACATACATCCTGTGGCATTCAAAAGAAAAAAGAAAGAAACGAACGAACTTTGGTCCTTTTTATTTTGACAGTTTTACCATAATATATATTTTACCTACCCCAAAGAGCAGTCATTTGTGAGACTATCAACTACTTGGCTTCAAAACTTGATTTATACCTTTACCAAGTTCTATCTGCATAGAATGCTGTTTCTCATCTGATTTTATGTCTCTGGATAAAAACTTTTTCTCTTGCTTTATACAGAAACTCTCTCTTCCTTCAAAAATAAGAAGCTCTGACATTCCTCCATTAGTTGTTCGCTCAGATGTATATACTCATTTCAAAAAATGAAAAACCCTTAATGCCTTTATCTCAATATATGTGTGTTGTTATTAGATCTGAAATCAAAGAACATTTCTTGTTCACCTCTGTAACTGCAACAGTAAAAAATTCATCTGCCAGAGAGATGTTGTTTAAGAATTGTTGATCGAGTAAATCAATGAAAACATATATTAATGAGATGGCCATCTAGAAATCTGCTTGGACAACTCAATTGACAAACTATCACAATATCAAGATATCATTAGGGGCTGGCAGGTGGCATGGTGTTTGAGACTCTGGACCCTCACATAACTGACTATGGTTCAAGTCCCAAACCTGGCAACTTGCTTTCACACTCTCCTTTTCTCTCTGTCTGTCTCTCTCTGGTCAAAATTGAAGAATAATGAAAATTAAGAAAATTAAAAATAAATCTTAAAAAGAAGATATCACTATAATTTGGTTTGCCTGAAGTTCAACATCACGTAGGCCTATTTTCTGGATAACAAACCATGCTATGTCTTAGCTCCATAACTTTAACTAAAACAAAATTATCACCTCTTCTCCATAAAGCCAAAATGATCATAACTTTATTTTGCCATGAATATCTAGGATTTTGCATCCATGTGTCCTCCTGACACTGAGAAAGTCATTGGTAATCTTAAAACATTATTTGACAAAGTGTGTAATAAGTAAATTTGAGCCTACTGATCAACCTGCCAAGGAAACTATCATCTTAATGCCTTTTGTACTATATTGTATATGATATAAATATCCTAAGTGGTTTTGAATAATTCCTTTCCTCAATCTTTGCTATTTTCTTCCTTATTTCTATAGAATACCATACAAATCATTGTTCTTTTATTTTCATTCAAGAAATATTTATTTCATTTTTTATTGTATTTATTTATTTATTTTAATCAATTAATTTGCATTCATTCACTGAACATTGTCACAGCATACAAATATTTATTATTCTGTGTCAAAAATTTATTTTTGTGTTGGATATACTAAGATTTATGAGAAAAGGTCCTTTTCTCAGTAGTTGATTGTGTGAGGACAGAAGAAACAAACACTCAAATCATTGTTCTTGAAGCTCAAAAGTTCTGAACAGCTATAGAAAAGCACTCTACATTCACCAAAATACAGTTTCTCTCTATCTCAAAGAGTGGTCTAATCATAGGGCAAATACGTGAGATACAGGCTGTCAGAGTCTAGGTGAGAGATATGATCAGGAAATATTTTACCAGTGAAGTAAGATAATGACCATAATGGGACTAGCAGTTAACGTAATGGCTATGTCGCTGGACTCCCATGTAGTCGACCACGGTTCGAGTCCTGGACCCGGTGGCTTAAACTCATGCCGGGCACGTGTGCATGCATGCCCAAGATCCTGAGAGGATAATGGAGGAGAAGGGATTGCAGCGTGGCCATCCCCCCTGGGGGGGTGATTTCTCGCTTTCTGTCTCTCTGTCTCTCTCTGTCTGTCTGGCAAGCGCACACGCCCTATAGCAAAAAAACCTCTCCAAAAAAAAAAAAAATGACCATCATAAATTCTAAACTTGTCTTCTAGCAGTTTGGCTGATTAGTTGTTAAAAATTGTTTTACCCAGGATATAATGTGACTGTCTTGGGAGTCCGTTTCCTTAAATTCTTATCATCATATGCAAAAACTCTTGTATCCAGTTTGCTAACCTTGGAAGCTTAATTTTAGAGAACTCTTAGGAAGAAATGGAATATTTCTTTCATAAACAGTAAGGTTGAGGCCAAAAACAATTCTGCTCTTGTCTTGCTTGATCCTTGCTTTATTTCCACTGAGAACAGTCTAATATTCTACTTTTTTTTAATTGCCAAAGGGCCTATGTACTCACTGAAAATAGAGAAAGAGAACCTTCAATGGGACACAGCCACACTATAAATTGTTTCCTCCATTTCCTCATCCTGCCAGGATTCTGGGTACACATGTGTTCAAGCCTGGCACATTTTTCAAGCCACTGTTGGTCATGTGGGATTTGTCTTCCCTAATCACTGTGCTACAGGGCTGTTTTCTATTCATTTTTTTAAATTACCACCTCTATTTTTTTTTATGTGTCTTTTCAGCTCAAATGTACCTTTCTTTATTTCTGACCCAAACAAACAAGAAAAGCCTTTTGTGTTTATAGGGTTTGTACAGTTTCACACACACACATACATACACACACACACACACACACACACACACACACACACACACACATAGTAGACAACAGAAGAAATATACATTACAAAAATTAGTCACTCAAAAGAAACTCTTATATTAAGATTTGCTTATACATGTAGATAGAATGACAATAATAGATAACAACTGATGATTTAAAAGAGAAATGGAATGGAATGTCAAAGTTAATAAGATTTTGGGAAAGGCTTTCCATTTGACCTGAAGAGCAGGTACTGTTAGGTGGGGTGGAAGAACTGATGGAGCCTGGCAGTATAATCTGCTTGTTTGGAACTAGACTATGTCTAGAACTTCCAGTTATGTCATTGAAACTGTATTGTTTCATGGTTATGTATATTGGTATTTATTTATTTATTTATTTATTTATTTATTTACTTGTTGCTGTAAGATGCATGTGCTCACAAGAGACAGACAGACAGGGGAAGTGAAAGTGCCCTCCATGCAGTCTGGTCATGTGACAGTCTCTTCTCTTACATTTCACTTCTGGGGATTTTGGGCATGCACTTGGTGTGTTTCTCAAACCCTTAGGTCCGAGACTCTAACTACACAGTTGATCTTGTGGAATTCAGCGGTCTCAACTACCGTGCACTAGCTGACCCTGAATATTTCATATTTAAAATGTACAGACCAAGAAGTAAATAAATAAATAAAATGTACAGACCTACATCTCCATCCAGGCATGATATTTTCCATGAGAGCTTGCAAAATCTACCTCCCTGACTTGCAGGTCCCTTACCTAGAACATGCAGATATTACTACCTGCATTTAAATATAAATAACCTTATAGTGTTATTGTGGTTGAGAAATTGATTTACATATATATATACATAATTAACATTTAATCATTATACATCTTTATAGTGAACATGGCTTTTCCCAGCACTAATACAGTACATATCAGTCAAGACAAAGACATAACCATATATACTATCATCAGCAAATAAGTTTTCATTTTTGTGTCAGTTAAACATATCATTTGTTTCCCTGGTCAAAAAATACATTTTGTTTTGAAAAATCCTACTAAATTCTCCAGTTTCTTAAATTAAAAAAAAAAAGTTATTACCTAGATATAGAATTTAACTATTCATTACTTCATTGATACTTCTGTTAATGCTAGGCTGTTCTATGATGACTGGGCTTAAAATCCTATTGATTGGACTTAAAATCATCAGTATATAGAAAAAAATATTAGTTTTCTAGCCATCCATGTGGATTAACTTAATGTTTTTATTAGTTTCTTGTCTTAGCATTGTCTATTCTTTTAATTCATGTATTTTAAGAGCCTGTTTCATGAAATAGACTCCGTAAGATGTCAGTGAATTAGAAAATATATGATTTTAGACATAATGTTTTCTCTTAAGAAACAGGTGATGACAAAAAAAAACTACTATATGGTGGCTTCATGTTTTAGTATTTATAGATGGCAGTGGAAGAGTTTTACATTTTAACAGAATTCCAGACTGACTGTAAATGAGTTCAGTAACTCATTACTCTTCTCCTAGTTCTATACAGGAAAAAGTTGATCTGGATTAAACCTTAAAATATACTTTTCTTCCCAGTCATATTTATGTATCTTTAAGTTAGGTGGAGAACCATAAGATGTCAGCTAGAATCACCAATATATACATTTTTAAGAAGTTTTTCAAAATATTTGAGTGCTTTAGAAACTTTGAAAAAATAACAATCTTGTATGAGCATTTCAGGGATTTTGTAGATTTAATTTATTTTGATTCCTCACTGAAATGGATTTTAAGAGAGAATGTGTGTGTATGCATTTTTTTTTAGAAATAATATTTAGTATTAGTGTTTATTTTAACTGATGGAAGAGAAAAACACAATCACTAGATCTTGAATTTGTTTGGTCTTGACCCCATAAATGATGGGGTTGAGCATAGGGGGAACTACCACATAGAGGTTGGCCACTAAGATGTGGATGTGGCGGGGGATGGTTTTACCTCCAAAGCGATGGGCAAAAAAAGAAAAGAAAGCTGGAGTATAGAACAAAAGGATGACACAGATGTGGGAACCGCACGTGTTCAGGGCCTTGAATCTAGCAGCCCAGGAAGGAATCTGAAACACTGTGCGGAGGATCATGGTGTAGGACATAATGATGAACACTATATCCATCCCTGTGGAAAGAAGGGCCACTGTTAGGCCATAGATGATGTTGACACTGATATTGTCGCATGCCAGTCTAGCAATACCCATGTGCTCACAGTAGGAATGGGGAATGATGTTTCTCCCACAATAGCTAAGTCGATACACCAGGAAGATGAATGGGCAGCAGATGAAAAAGCTCCTGACCACAGCAGCTATGCCAATCTTCCCAATGACTGAGGGGGTCAGGATTGTGGTGTATCTCAGTGGGTAACAAATGGCCACATAGCGGTCAAAGGACATGGCCAGGAGAATAGCAGATTCTGCCACAAAGATAAAATGTATGAAGAACATCTGGGACACGCAACTACCAAAGGATATACTTGTGGAGTGGAACCAGAAGATAGCTAGCATTTTGGGGGCCGTGGCTGTCGAGAGCAGGATGTCCGCTAAGGCCAGCATGGAAAGGAAGAGATACATGGGCTCATGGAGACTGTGCTCAGTCATGATCAGGAAGATCAGGAAGATGTTGCCCACGACGGCCACAATGTACATAGAACAGATAGGAATGGAGATCCAGGAGTGCAAACCTTCCAGTCCTGGGATTCCGATCAGGAAATACCACACATCCTGGGGGCTGGTGTGATTGTAGGAGGAAGCCATCTCTGCTGTGTACTCCAGTCTAGTATCTTAATAAAAGATCTCCAAGTTGAGGAGCACCACCTTAGGCTCAATAAGTTCTGCTTAGATTTGTCCCCCAATATTTTCATCTGTGTCAAAAGAGAGCAAGGTGAATTAACTAGACTAACATTCTAACCCTCTTATCTAAGAATTAAGTCTTGTTTCCTGAAAAAATTAATAGTTATTATTTAATAACTGTATAGTAAGTGTCATAAATCTTCACAATAGCCTGTTGAAAAGACTTTGACAATAACCTGTGTTATGGATACTATTATGCCTAGAGATAAAGACAAAATAATAATAATAATAATAATAATAATAATAATAAAGCTACCTGAATTTTCAACCTCTTATACTAACTGCCACTGGATTCAATGTCAGGCAGGGTAAATTTGAGCTCTGACATTAACCACTGTTCAATGCTGTCTATCAAGATAAAACTTGATACAAAAATACAGCATCAAATTTTTACTCTTCAAATACCTGAGGAAAACAGGTATATATGAACTTGAGTTGTACTGTTTGCAGAAGATGGAGAAAATTAAGCTTGATAAAACAGATTTTGAGTAACATAAGCACAGATGTATTCTTCCACATTGATTGATCACTAATTTGATGCAATGCCCTATGCTAGCCATTGAGAACACTCAGGTCAGTTAAATTTATCCTTATCTTACAATCAACCCATTCCATAAGACATTGAAAACAAACAATTAGCAATGCCAAACTGAGCAAGGCTCTTAAATGCAAGCCTAGTATGTGGTGAAGATAAATTATTTTATTCTATGCTGAATGGGTCATTAACAGAAAATTACTAACAGATATTGTTTGTTCAAGTACTACCGAAGCATCAAATAACTTAATATTTTCATATTAGAAAGTATAATTACATTGTCCTATAATAAAAGAGAGCAGGGCAATCCACTGATTATTTCTATAGAAATATGAATAAAAGTAGGAACAATGTTAAGTGAATGGCCAGGCTAGGTGATACAAGACTAGGGTAAGCAATATATATGTATATCTACTGGGTCGTTGGAAAAGTCATGACATATTTTTCTTATGTTTTTCTATGCAAAAATGTGTCATGACTTCTGACAGCTCAATAAATACGTATAAATATCAGCATGAGTATAGACATAGACACAAAATATGTAAATGAAAAAAGGCTGGCTCCCGTCCTCCCCAGTCTTCATTCCCAAATAGAAATTGATTAACGTTCTTGTTTTCCGAGGTGGTACATATGCTTAAGAAATGATTGCCCCATTATCCCTTAATATTGCAGTTCAGTATACTAACCATTGTATAGTCTTGTTTAAGTGAAAGAAAAAAAAAGGAAGTGGAGATGGAAGGGAAGGAAAACAAATTTTGCAGTGTTCTTTGAACTTTGCTAGTCTTTTGTATTATGTTTGCTGTAGCATTATTATCTGTGATTACTGCAATTATAGACCTGGGCATCTTGTAGCACTATTCTATATAAATGCACAGAGGTGACATGTAGTAACAGAAACAGCCTGGTGCGAGGGACACGCACAAATGGGTTTAAATACTGGCAAAGTCATACTCTACCTGGGAAAGTCACTCTGTTTGGACTTCAGTTTCCTTGTTTCTAAAATACCTAAAAATAAGCGTCAATTAAAAATGTGATTAAATGTTGAAGTTAATATTTTAGGATGGTAGCTACAGAAATCAAATATATTTCTCTTCCAACAACAGATCATATTAGAAAACTTGTAAAATTATCAGTAAGACCAAAACAGTCGTTACTTTGACCAAGATTAACTTCCTGAACTTTGGGTTTATGATGCACTAAACTGAAATTAAATTGATTTAGGGTGGGCCAAGAATGATTTCCGTATGCTAAGTATAGTATATCAGTTTGTAACTTTCCACCAAATATGCCACTTTACTTTTATAAGATGCAGAGAACTCAGCATAGTGAGGGCCACATGGGTTTTTAAATGGAAATTTTATTCTTGCTCCATCACAATGTAACAGTTTTGTTACAAGGGAAGAAACTTAAAACCTCTCTTTAGAGTTCTAGCTTCTTCATTTGTGCCTATTCCAGCACCTGATGAATAATACATACTCACTTCTAATGAAAAATGCATACACACACACACACACAATTTTTACTACCAAAATTATTTAGCCACCAAGCCTAGTTTTAAACTGCAGGGATACAAATTCATTGCATCAAAACACACTTAAATTTGCATATCAAGGAAAAAAATGACCATTATATAAAATGATCATTAGGTAAAAAATAACCATGTTATTATTTCTTTTTTCTTTGCAGATGTTCTATTTAGTAAAAAGACATAAAAAGATACTAGAATTGCAGATCATGTCCAGGTAAAGTCAAGTCTAACATCCCATGGGTCAGAACTGAGAAAAATGTGGAAGAATGAGCAGCTTCTGCAGTTTTCTGAATTTTTTTCTGGTTTCATTTCCTACATGTCTTCATTGAGCATAACTCAGTTTACTTACTTGTGTTTCCTAGAATCCTGAAGATATTAAATAGATTAAAAAGAGAATTTAAAAAATAAAAGCAAGGAAATGCCCAAAACACAAACAGGAAAACTGAAACTGTCTATTTATACTTCTTTCTCAGTATCTCTTGGGCCCAAGATTTTCAGTCCCAGAGGATTGAATTTTACTCCTCCATGGAAGGAAATGGCCCAGAGCTGGTACTAGTGAACATCCATAGAGAAAGTCACCCCTGAATTCTCTTTCTCTGTTATTTGTGCAACTTTTCTCTGGTGAGCACTTTCTGACACTCAAATTAACACATATACCCAGGTTTTCACTGCATGTCAGAGACTCATTCTATTGTAGCTCTAATCAATGAAGAATTGTTTTTCTCTTTCTCTTTTTCTTTCTTCTTGCTTCCTTTCTTTCTTTCTCTTCCTTTATTTTTTATTTTTCTTTATCTTTCTCCTTCCTTCCTTCCTTCCTTCCTTCCTTCCTTCCTTCCTTCTTTTTTTCTTTTTTTCTTCCTTTCTTCTTTTCTTCTTTCCCTCTTTCTTTTCTTATTTTTTTCTTTCATTCTTCTTTTTTTTTCTGAGAGGACATGTGTGCTTGTCAAAGAGAGACAAAGAGAAAGAGAGATAGGGAAACTGAGAAAACACCCCCTCATGGGGGATGTTCATGCTGTGATCCCTTCTCCTCCATTTCTCCCTTCTTTCAGGATTTTGGACATGCATACATATGTACCTGATGTGTGTTTCAAACCATGGGGTCAAAGACTAGAGCTCTGAAGTCACAAACCCTGTAGCCAGCCATGTGGAATCCGGTTACCTTTACCACTGAGCTATGCATTCTCTAATAAATAAAAAAATGTGAAGTAGATAATGATTTTAGATACATTTAATAAGCAAGAGAGTAGTAGTCCAATCTGTTACTTTAAAATACACATTGTACTTTTGATAATATTCTATGCGAAAGGAGTAATCATTATTCATGGCCTTCAATGCATTCAGTCTCTAGCGCAGAAGTCTATAGCCCATTGCGTAAAATAATTAGAAAAATAATTTTCCAAATTTTAGAAACATTACATGACCATGTTCTTGTTTTTTCAGAGAGATTTTTGCTGTAGAGAAATCACTCCTTCCCCCAGGAGGATGGCCACATCACAGTCCCTTCTTCTCCATTCTGCTCTCAAGATCTTGGGCACACCTGCACATGCATTGGCATGAGTTTAAAGCCACCGGGTCAGAGACTCAAACTGCGGTCAATTACTTGGGAGTCCAGTGCTGTAACCATAACGCCATCTGCTGGTCCCATGTAATCGTGTTCTTAATATTAGATAATAATATCTTTGGAGTCTTGGCAAATCATTTGTAATCATAAAATAAATATTTATGCAGGGAAAATAAATATTTTTAAATAATTATTTATTTAATTTATTTATTCATTCATTTATTTTAATTTGACCAGAGAAAGAAACAGAGAGAGAAAGAGAAGGAAAGTGAGAAAGCAAGCAAACCGGTCCAGGACTGAAACGGTCTGCCATGTGGGACTGTCCAGCACCTTAACCACCATGCCACCTGCTGGTCCCCAGGAAACATAAATACTTAACTTCAGTAAAATAAACAAAGATTATAAGTTATCCTCACAACAGTTTACATCAGGTTTTGCTATCACATTGGGTCAGGCTGTGGTGCCAAGAATTTCAGTTTTAAAATTATATCCATTTAAAGAAAATAGATAAGACATACTGATCTTGTTAATTAAAATACTATTAGGAATGCCTTGAGCTGCTCATTTCTTTTCTATAAATTAAGAATGTTTGATAGTTAGGGATTTTTAGTTCCAACTCTGCTTTAACACACAAGATACCCAAATGAAGCCCAGATAGCTATTTTATACCTAAAATTGAGTCTAGAATGTTAGTACCCCAGCCAAAAACTAAGAGGGAAAATAAAATGAAAACCTTTATCTGACTATTGGGGCTATGGAGGGAAAGTTCATGAGAGGAATTCCAGAAAGTCTTTATTTTGAACAAGTAATTTCAGCCTAATTGGATTCCTGCTTTGTTTGCATTTATGAATTAATGCAGCTGGAAGCTGGTGCTAGGGAAGAGAGTAGATAGACCTCTTAATATATCTACTTCGTGTTTGTGGACTGGACAGTTTCTCAGTGATGGAGCAGTCCGTCTTCAGCCACACAGTTTTCTCAAAGATGTTTGTCCTCCCACAATGAATAACTTTCGCAGCAACTGTTATCTTGCCCAGAAGGTATGAGTGAGCTACTTTGGAGAGGATATTATCTGGGAAGAATCACTAGCGTTGTATCTCTTAGTTTTGATAATGTAAGGTTACTAGGTACCTTCTGAGAAAGGATATGCCAGGGTCTTTCTTAAGTCTAGTGAAGGAATATTCAAATTACAGTATCTGTGAATCTTTTCTCTTGATAGAGTTTTAACGGAATAATCCTGCAATCAATTAACAATGTCTCCATTAGAGGAGATGAATGAAAGG